CGACTTACCTCCGGCTCTTTTTAAAGATGGTAGTGACTTTCTGACTAAGGGACTGACGACGTTGTTTGCAAAGGTCTGGGAACTAGAGAGTGTACCAACGTCATGGAATGAGTCGATAGTTGTCCCTATCTTTAAAAAGGGTTCACGTTGTTCCTGTAACAACTATCGGGGGATAAGTCTACTTCCGATTGCGTCCAAGCTATTGGCTTCCGTCATACTTCGTAGGTTGTTCAGAACCCGAGAAGGATTGACTCGCGAGGAGCAGGCTGGGTTTCGTTCCGGTCGAGGATGTATTGATCATATCTTCACCCTCCGCCAAGTGTTAGAACACCGCCATACTTATCAAAGGCCAACAATCGTAGTGTTTCTTGATATCAGGGCTGCCTTCGATTCGTTGGACAGAACTGTTCTCTGGGATTGTCTATTGAAGAAGGGTGTGCCTGAGAAGTTTATTAACATCCTAAAAGCCCTATACACAAATACCTCAGGCAGAGTGAGGGCATACAACCACCTTTCTCCACTATTCCATTCGAGCAGAGGGGTTAGGCAGGGTTGCCCAATCTCACTATTCCTCTTCAACCCTGCCATCGATGACATTCTGGAAACAGCTCTGACGGATGTAAGTAATGGTGGTGTGGATCTGTTGCCTGGAGAAAGACTTCTCGACTTTGAGTATGCGGATGATATTGTCTTACTGTGCGAGAATGTTCAAGCTATGCAATCCGCACTTAATCAGTTGGCAATCAATGTCCGTAGGTATGGTATGTACTTTGCACCTTCGAAGTGCAAAGTTCTTCTACAAGACTGGCAGGATTCTAATCCTGTACTCACTCTGGATGGTGAGCAGATTGAAGTAGTCGAGAAGTTCGTGTATCTAGGTAGCTGCATAAGTGCTGGTGGTGGTGTGAGTGATGAGATCAATGCACGTATAGTGGAAGCCAGAGCGGCTTATGCCAATCTGGGTCATCTTTGGCGCCTTCGTGATGTTAGTCTGGCTGTAAAAGGTCGGATCTACAACGCGACGGTGAGAGCAGTTTTTATCTATGCTTGTGAAACCTGGCCTCTCCGAGTTGAGGATGTTAGACGACTCTCTGTGTTCGATCACCGCTGTCTCCGAAGGATTGCTGACACCGAGTGGCAACACCATGTTAGTAATGCAGAGGTTCGGCATCGAGTGTTCGGTCACAGAGACGATAATTCCATTGGTGTCACCATCTTGAAACACCGACTTCGGTGGCTTGGACATGTTCTACGAATGTCGTCCCAGAGAATTCCTCATCGTGCATTATTTGCCGACTCTGGGACTGGTTGGAAAAAGCGGAGAGGTGGTCAGTATATGACATGGTGTCGTGGCATGAGAGAAAGCTGCAAAGGGCTAGCTTCTGTTAGTCCTTCACGACTCCCTGGTTGGGGTCCGAAAGACGGTGTAACGCAGTGGCTAGAGACGTTATGAGATATGGCTCAGAATAGAAGCCAGTGGCGATCCTGCTGTAACCTTCTTTTACTTTCTTCATAAAAAGTGGTTGTATCTTCCTTAACTGAAAGATTTGTTATGATTGTACTTTTCCGTTTTCCCCATTATTGTTTTTTTTTTCTCTCTCTCTTTTTATAATCCCCCACGTTCATTGCTTTTTTTTTCTCCTTCTCTTCAAATTATCATTGTTTTGTGTGGCGCATATATATTTGGTGCCCCCCTGTACCAATATTTATGTGTTCAAATAAATAAATAAATATAGCATCTAAAATACTAGCCTCGATAACTATCGGACGCCTAACTAAGACTCGTGAACTGCAAACACGAGAGAATCAAGCTGGTTTCAGACCTGGTCGTGGATGCATAGACCACATATTCACCGTCCGCCAGGTTCTAGAACACAGGCATGCTTATCGGCGTCCGACAATGGTGGTCTTCCTTGATTTAAAAGCAGCGTTTGACTCTAGATCGAGAGGTTCTGTGGCAGTGTCTGTCATTGAAAGGCGTACCTCAGAAGTACATAAACCTTGTGGAGGCTCTTTACTCGAACACTACTAGTCGAGTCAGAGCTTATGGCGAACTGTCATCTGCTTTTGCAACCTCATGTGGTGTCCGTCAAGGCTGTCCACTTTCTCCATTTTTGTTTAACTTCATCATAGATTTACTGATGGAAATAACGCTCTCATCGACTAAATTCTCGGGCATTGATCTCCTACCAGGAGGTCCACTTATTGACTTAGAATACGCAGATGATATAGTCCTGTTTGGTGAAGACGCTGATAAAATGCAGTCTTTTGGTGGCCCTGAGCAACAATGCCGGAATGTTTTGGATGCGCTTCTCTCCCTCTAAATGCAAGTTGTTGCTTCAGGACTGATCTGCGTCAACACCTGAACTAAGGATAGGGAGTGAAGTCGTCGAACGCATTGACAACTTCACTTATCTTGGAAGTCTGATCAGCCTGGTTGGGGTCTGCGTGACTATCGTAACCAATGGTTGGAGACTCTTGGTGACATGACTCAGCATCGATCACAATGGCGTATGTGTATACACTCTCTGTCTTCCTTAAATTAAGAGATTAAATTCGCTTCATATCTTTCTAGGAACTAATTCTTTCTTCCTGTACTATCTCCTTATACACAATCTTTCTTCTATATATTACCACCACTGAATTAACTACTTCTATGAATCCGGTGTTCATCTTGTTGTGCTAATGCGGTATGGCAACTTGGATCGATGCATATATGTGCCTGGTTCTTCGTTGCAGCTGACTGACTGACTGACTTAATCCGTGTGAAAACCCTAAATATGATTCCTAACTCTAACCACCAACCGCAAATCCTTATTCTAATTCGTCACACTGGTTTATAACCCTCATTTGGTCCTAGTTATTAAGTGGACTCTCTCAAGCTTACTTTAACGTCTCTCAAAGGTCGTCCATAAATTTTACCCTCACCCGCCTTACTTGTGTAAAAATTTCCATGACCTATTGCAAGTCAAGCCTTTAGATGTCTTATGACCACAGCATCTTTTAACCACGTTCTTCCATTGGGGTCAGCTTTTCTTAGTTATCCCTCATAAAGACACTTCAATAAGGCCTTTGGGAACACTTATTCCTAATACTAAAATGTCCTTGCTAATGCAGTGGTGGCAGAACGCATCATTTCCTGTAAATTTTAATGTGTAAAAATAGCATCTCAAAAAATACTGAAAGCTCTGAAATAGCTATTTCTCGTATGATAACTTTGTATTTATATGCATCCTTAGCTTCAGTATAGTTTTTAAGCTAAAAATTGATGGCTGTAGAGCATTTCCCAGCATTGTTTATGTGTTTGGAATATCATAACCTAGAAAAAATATCTGGCGAAACTTAAATTTATGAACGAATCAATTAGATAGCAGGTATTTGAATTTGACGTGAAATTCATTCACTCATTTTGTTAAGAACCATTTTGGTGGTAATATAGCGTATATAGGTTTGTGATGAAAACATTAAATCTAATTCCTAACTTAAGCGGTCAACTGTAAATCTTAATCCTAATTCCTCACACTTATCTATAACCCTCATTTAACCCAAGTAGTTGGACATTCCAAAGTCATTTTGGTGTTGCTCAAAGGTCGTCTCTAAATTGTGGTCTCACCAAAAATCTCATTACATTTTAGTTAATGGACTTCATTTCAACTCAAAACTATCTAAAGCTCAAATTCTTGTTTTAAGATCTACCAAAGATTATATTTGCGAACTAATGTAATATAATGCAGATAGTATTCACATCCAATAAAGTTGGATTCTTTTCGCTTTTGTAAATTGTCATATATCCCTTTTAATAACATTTTATTTCTCTTCCCCAAGTTTAGGAACTTAGTCTCACCGAAATCAGCCTCTTAAACAACGAATCCTTGTCTCTATTTCAAAATCATACAAGTGTATTATTATAAAAGGTACTTGCCACCGAAAATGGTGTGACGTAGATCCATTTCAATGAACGTTTATGTATATTGTCAGAGCTGTTGCCACTTCAAAATATAATCTCCAGTCGTATAAATCTGGTACCGTTTAGTCAATTGCCCTGTCTTCTCAATGTGACCTGTTCCCCAAATCCAATATAAAGCCCTCCACATCCAGTTATTCCACGAAGATATTATTTATTTATTTATTTTAACACAGATATTGGTACAAGGAGGCACCAAATACATATGCACCACACAGATTTCACTTGATATGTGTGAGGGCTGTGATACTGCCAGGGTGCTCGAACCGAAGCAGGTGGTTTTCTTAGGGGGCCACACCCTGAGACTTCGACCTGAAGATCTGATCCACAAGGCAGTGGAGCATCGTAAGGAGATGTAGTCCCATGGTAGCCGGTGACCAACGACTGGTTCATACGCCATTTGTTCTCTCGGGATACTGGAGCCCATGTGCACCATTGATTTGGGATCCGGTTATAGCGCCGGACATTCGCTTTTCGTCCTCTCATTTTCGTAAACAACACCTCCGCCACGAGAAGACAGTGAGTAGGACTTCGCTAACAGAGGCTATATACGCGTGGCCATGTGAGGGCATTTCGAGAGGGAGAGCGGACTCTCCCCACTCTCGGCCGTACCAGGGCATTTGGGGGCAAAGTTAAAATTCAATTGTACAGAGAACCCTATCTCTGAAAAATAATGCAACACTTGTTTATTTGGTATTGCAATTCTGATAAAATATACTGCTATTACGTAGTTTTATGTAGGCTAGACGAATCCAATACCACAAATGAGAATAAATTTCAGAAATTGGAGTCAATGAGACGATTTGTTTCAGTAAAAAAATGTAAACCCGAATACGTTTCCATAACAATGTAGACTATTATCACATGTAAATGTATTGTATATGCTTAACGAGTTTTCGTTTTTTTTCGGTCCTTTAGATCCCTGAGTTAATTGTCAGCTTATACTCTGTGTATTCGCCAACAACACCTTGAGGTATAAGAAAATTTTCTGGCGTATAGACTATTCAAGCGGTCCGGCGCTTTTTAGTTGGTTTTGATGGGACGATCTTTACCTCCTTGTTATAGACCTCTCCACACGTCGGTACTACGAAATGACTTTCGAAGGTATGGTATTCTTTGTTTGTTCAATATTACCGACAGACTGGCAATATACATTCTCCTGCTTACTTACTTTTGCTACACACTTTTTCATGCCTCACGAAAACCCCTTAGCATTGTTAAGACGGTTCTTCATCGTCCCGGCGTAAATGGACAACTAAAAACTGTTGGTTTCACTTCTGACGGTTGGGAACCATTTGGTAGTTTTTTGTTGTATGGTTGACGGCTGTATTTAGATTCTGACAATTGGAGTCAGTTACTGGGTGGCCTTGAATATATTTATTTGTTTGTTTATGCTGTTTCAATGATTCTAAGGTGAGTCTAAAAGATATTGAACTACTGTATAGTGGCTTTCTTGCAGAAAGAGTCAATTTAAGATACTTCTTATCTATCGGGATGTTTCTTAGTGGAGTTTCCACTTTTGCATTTGGACTGGCTTCATACTTCGAAATTCACTACTACTCATACTTCGTCTTTATACAGGTAAAAAGATGTTTGATCATCACTTCCAGGTGTTTTCTGGTCTTGTTCAAGCTTCTGGATGGCCGGCTGTTGTTACTCTGGTGGGAAATTGGTGGGGCAAAAGCAGGTTTCCAACAAAGTTTCATGTTTAATACTGATATATATATATATATATATATATATATATATATATATATATATTTGCTACAAGTTCACTTGCTTATGGTTACTAGGACAGAATTTCCTCTGTCTATAAAAATGATTCGGTCCTTATCACTACTAATAAGTGAGAGTGAAATAGTGATCCCTTTTGAAACAAAAGTTACATCAGATTCAATCAGCCGATTCATTGTATTCTTATTTCGAATTAAAACATTAAAAAATCATTTATAGGGCAATTAGTGATTAATATACCGTCCCGATTATAAACTCCGTTTAAATCCTACAAAAGTCAAGTTCACCTTCAGTTTCTTGCAAAGTAACTTCAATTTAGATTGATATCATGAATGGGTCAATGTTAGACCACCACTGAAAACCTGGAGGCACTGGATAGCCTTTTCTTCCCAGCATTGTACTCCTCAGCGGTGTGCATCAATGATCTCTCACCAAAGGGACTCGAACCCAGGACCTTCGGTCTCGCGAGCAGACGCTTAACCTTTAGACCACTGAGCCGGCATCTAACGATGTTAATGTCTAGCTTCAACCAATCCACGATATTGCGCGACCGTCCACTATTGTCTTCAGTGAGTAACGGCCTCACAACAGACACAGTTGAACTCCGCTGGTCACAGCTTCTCACTAGAACTCTAGAAAATCCATCCTGAAGCCAGTCACTAGTGAGCACATGATAACTTCAATTTGTTATGTAACAATTTGAATTCAGTAAACTGGGTTTGTGGAATGTAGTTTGTTATAGACAAGCTTTTCTTTCCTATTTATTAACGTTCACATTTGCGTTTTTCCTGTTTTCGTATAGACGGGGACTTATTATGGGTCTTTGGAATTCTCATACAAGTTTGGGAAATATCATAGGTTCAGTCATTGCTGGAATCTATGTTGAAACAAACTGGGGAGCTTCTTTTTATCTACCCGGTCTTATCATGATGGTTGGAGCGTTGGTTGTGTACCTGACAGTTATAGAGCATCCTAACATGGTCTATAACTCGGCTAGTTCAGAAAAAACAGGTACTCAAATTCCAATGTCAGGAAGCATATATGGGGTAATTATCTATTCGTTCATGGTTTTTCTAAAGCTTATTTTGAAGTAACCTCCGGAAGTTGATTCGTTTTAGAAATAAACACTGGCATTAGTAAGAATAAGATGTTATACAGACAAAAGCCTTAATTGTATATATATATATTAACAAGTAGTCTTCAGAATGCATCATTCATTATTACATTCACTTCGTGAACTTGGGGTCCATATTGATTTCCGAATACTGTCATGAATGTCCGTTATTTCTTATTTTTTCCAATTGCGCTGTTCGAATGCAACCGAAAGCTTTTGCTAAACGTAATTTGATAAATAATCCTTATAGAAACAAAGTCTAAACCACCCTATGTGAATTGTCTATTTATCACAGCTTAAATGAGTCGTATACATAATTGCCAACTCACCATTAAGCTGACTATTCAAAGGCCCATTTATGTCACATATGCCAACCGTTTATTTCAGTCCACTGATTTTATTGATAATACTAGTATGATGTCTGTTAGTTACTTGTCATCAGTCAGTAGTTTTAATTACTGTCTGTTTCTTTGATGATATAAGTAATATAGGCTAGTTAGTACATGCTTCACTCTCCACTTTAAAATCTTTTGTAATTTATTTATCAATTAATATAATCATTCTTATAAGTAGAAATTCTTTAATCTGGTGGTCTGGGGTTCACAACAAAATACATTATTTGAACATGGTTAATGAGTAGCAACATTTTATGTGGCACGTAAAAAACCAATTCCATCTCTGTGGGTTATTTTCCATGTGCTGTACTCATGAAGCACTCTTCCACTTAGAGCATCAATTACTTTTACCATTTTCCATACCGATTACAAGTCTCAATTAACTCTGAGTTCATAAAATTGGATCGATTTATGTTTTCTTTTGTAGCTCAGTTTGCTCCAGCTTCTTCGTGTTGGATTATATATGATCATAACGAAAAATATCCATCTATTTTTTTCATTACTTTAGCTGAATAGAGCCAGTGGGAGTTACTGTGATATAATTAACGTTCATTTATCTACAGCAGATTTATTCCCTCGATTTTGAACTGCACGGTTTGTATGGTGGATAGTGTTACCACCCGGATTCCTACTATCCCAACCAAGTTTCATGAGCGGTGTTACTATTGCTTAATTTAGGGGTTCTGAAAAATTGCGTGAAAGGCATTACAACATTAAGTTTATCAGTCGATAAAACAAAAAAAAAACAATTGTAGGTAGTATTTCTACTAATTTGACATAATACAGACCATTACATTACCCTGTTATTACGAAATAAAAGAGAGCTTTGTTAATTACTTCTCAATGATAGCAACTGTTCAGATAGTTTGCGTAACTTCAATTTTATTTGTGAGTGGAAATTATTTCGATCAAATGTGTGTAAGACAATAACTTGTAGAGTCTGGTACTATGCCAAGCCTACAGGGGTTATTTTAGCTTCCGGACAGACCAGTTTATTCATTTTTTGGTCACATTTTGACTTGGTTAATTACTTACTGACCTTGACTGTTCATGCACCCGGGCAGTATCCCAGCCCACGCACTAAAACATGATGAACTATTTACTTATGGAAAATATTCTTTTCGCTCCGATTTACAATGAATTGACTCGCACTACTATAATAATAATTATTATTATTATTATTGTACCACGTCATTTATTCACTCTCTCTTATTCCCACTTTATGTATCCGTTTCGACTTAGACAGCAGCTCGCCTATGGTGAAAATTCGGCTCTATCTAAACGTTCTCGAGTCACTGCCTGGTTGAAAATTGTATGTTGCCACCGAATATGAGTACTAAAGCAGTTTTTCTGAAACCACGTGCACCATTCAAACTGGCTGCCTTCAACGTTCGCACACTTATGCAGGTCGGACAACAGATAGGGCTGGCTATGTCTTTGGAAAGTCTTAATATTGATGTGTGTTGTCTATCCGAGACCCGTATTCAAGACTCTGGTGAAGTACTACAAGTTCGCTCTCCATCTGTCGCTTCAAAAAGCTTGTTTTATGTGCGTTTATCCGGGGACCCTGTGGCATCTTCGTCTGGTCTTGCTGGCGTTGGTGTCGCACTAAGCGCAAGAGCTGAGGCAGCACTAGTCGACTGGATCCCCATTAATAGTCGGTTGGTTATGTGCTGTTAGATTAGAAAGTTCCATCAAAGTGAGAAGAAATCGGCGTGAGAAACGATGTCTTTTCGTCATCTCCGCCTATGCCCCGACAGATTGCAGCCCGGATGCAATCAAGGACGAGTTCTACCACCAGCTAACTGTTCTTCTCCAGAAAGTGCGTTCGACAGATATTGTAGTACTAGCTGGAGACTTGAATGCTCAGGTCGGGCGTCTAGGCACAGAAGAGAGTCGTTTAGGTGGCCGGTGGGGACTCGTTGGTCGCAGGACAGATAACGGGGAACGTCTACTGCAACTATGCACAGACCACAACCTGTTTCTGGCTAGCACTAACTTTCGGCACAGTCATCGCCGATGTGCCACCTGGCGTCCTCCTTCTGCATCTCAAGCCTGGACTCAGATTGATCACATCGCGATCAGCTACCGCTGGCGCGGTTGTGTACAAGACTGCCGCTCATTTTGGAGTACCTATCTGGAATCTGATCATGCTCTGGTCTGCGCCAATCTTACCTTACTTTTCAGTGGACAACGAAGTGACCGCCACCACAGGATTGATGTTAGCAAGCTGGCTGCAACTTCTGTTGCTAGTAAGTACCGAACCGAGCTAGCTTCTAGGCTAGCCACCATTCCACCGAAAAGTATAGATGAGCATTGGTTGCAATTGCATGACGCCATGAAAATGGCGGGTCAAGTCAGTTGTGGGTTTGCGAAACGTCCCGCTTACAAGCACTGGGTTTCTTCTGGTTCCTTACAACTGATTGAAGCCCGTCGGTCTACTCCGAGTGACCGTGAGTTTGACCACAGACGAAGGATGTTACGTAATGAAATCGGGCAAAGCTTGCGTAAGGACCGAGAAGCCTGGTGGTCGGAGCGTGCCAGTGAGTTGGAAGCAGCAGCTGCATCTGGTAATTACCGGAAGCTCTTCCAACTCATCCGAGCCACTGGCAGCAAGAAGTCTGGTGTGAGCGAAACAATCTGCGAGGATGACGGAACGCCAATCACTAACATCCATCGACGTCTTGGACGATGGGCAGAATTCTTTGAAGGGCAGTTCAACTGGCCTGCTGCTCCGGCAACGTCGGTCAGACTGTCCTGCCCTCCATGGCCGGTGACGACTGATCCACCAAATGAGGCGGAAGTCCGCAAGGAACTCCAACTCTTAAAACGTTACAAATCGCCGGGCCCAGACGACTTACCTCCGGCTCTTTTTAAAGATGGTAGTGACTTTCTGACTAAGGGACTGACGACGTTGTTTGCAAAGGTCTGGGAACTAGAGAGTGTACCAACGTCATGGAATGAGTCGATAGTTGTCCCTATCTTTAAAAAGGGTTCACGTTGTTCCTGTAACAACTATCGGGGGATAAGTCTACTTCCGATTGCGTCCAAGCTATTGGCTTCCGTCATACTTCGTAGGTTGTTCAGAACCCGAGAAGGATTGACTCGCGAGGAGCAGGCTGGGTTTCGTTCCGGTCGAGGATGTATTGATCATATCTTCACCCTCCGCCAAGTGTTAGAACACCGCCATACTTATCAAAGGCCAACAATCGTAGTGTTTCTTGATATCAGGGCTGCCTTCGATTCGTTGGACAGAACTGTTCTCTGGGATTGTCTATTGAAGAAGGGTGTGCCTGAGAAGTTTATTAACATCCTAAAAGCCCTATACACAAATACCTCAGGCAGAGTGAGGGCATACAACCACCTTTCTCCACTATTCCATTCGAGCAGAGGGGTTAGGCAGGGTTGCCCAATCTCACTATTCCTCTTCAACCCTGCCATCGATGACATTCTGGAAACAGCTCTGACGGATGTAAGTAATGGTGGTGTGGATCTGTTGCCTGGAGAAAGACTTCTCGACTTTGAGTATGCGGATGATATTGTCTTACTGTGCGAGAATGTTCAAGCTATGCAATCCGCACTTAATCAGTTGGCAATCAATGTCCGTAGGTATGGTATGTACTTTGCACCTTCGAAGTGCAAAGTTCTTCTACAAGACTGGCAAGATTCTAATCCTGTACTCACTCTGGATGGTGAGCAGATTGAAGTAGTCGAGAAGTTCGTGTATCTAGGTAGCTGCATAAGTGCTGGTGGTGGTGTGAGTGATGAGATCAATGCACGTATAGTGGAAGCCAGAGCGGCTTATGCCAATCTGGGTCATCTTTGGCGCCTTCGTGATGTTAGTCTGGCTGTAAAAGGTCGGATCTACAACGCGACGGTGAGAGCAGTTTTTATCTATGCTTGTGAAACCTGGCCTCTCCGAGTTGAGGATGTTAGACGACTCTCTGTGTTCGATCACCGCTGTCTCCGAAGGATTGCTGACACCGAGTGGCAACACCATGTTAGTAATGCAGAGGTTCGGCATCGAGTGTTCGGTCACAGAGACGATAATTCCATTGGTGTCACCATCTTAAAACACCGACTTCGGTGGCTTGGACATGTTCTACGAATGTCGTCCCAGAGAATTCCTCGTCGTGCATTATTTGCCGACTCTGGGACTGGTTGGAAAAAGCGGAGAGGTGGTCAGTATATGACATGGTGTCGTGGCATGAAAGAAAGCTGCAAAGGGCTAGCTTCTGTTGGTCCTTCACGACTCCCTGTTTGGCGTCCGAAAGACGGTGTAACACAGTGGCTAGAGACGTTATGAGATATGGCTCAGAATAGAAGCCAGTGGCGATCCTGCTGTAACCTCCTTTTACTTTCTTCATAAAAAGTGGTTGTATCTTCCTTAACTGAAAGATTTGTTATGATTGTACTTTTCCGTTTTCCCCATTATTGTTTTTTTTTTCTCTCTCTCTTTTTATAATCCCCCACGTTCATTGCTTTTTTTTTCTCCTTCTCTTCAAATTATCATTGTTTTGTGTGGCGCATATATATTTGGTGCCCCCCTGTACCAATATTTATGTGTTTAAATAAATAAATAAATCATATATGAGCGTGTGTTAATTGCTTACCCTATTAATTACGTGCCTGTAGCTTATTTTTGTCTGATTTGGAATATCGAGTCACGCTTCAACAAACCGAGTTGGCTCCTTCGTCTTTTCTGCTTCGCTTTTCATTCTATCCTGATCAACGAGTGTACGAAATACATGTATTCACAATTCATTCTCTTATCTGACTTATTCTATTATTCTCTAACGTGAATTAAGTCGATAATTATGTACGACGATAGCGGGGATGTATATTTCGATAACATACGATCTATATGGAGTCAGAATAAAAGGCTTTAAAAAGCTTATTGAACTCTGCCTTCAAATTGATTTATGTCAGATATCAGTTCAATTGGATGAGTAAGAAAACTTATTAATGAATCAGGACTGAAATAAATTAAATTTTTAATCGTTAGATGAGAACGACTCTGTTTTGTTTTTGGACTTATAAATAAGCTCCTTGATTCAAACCAATTGGATTAGAACTCCACTTACTTAACCTTATCACTAAAACGAAACCAAACCAACTACATTTCTAAATACAAATTATGTTTGCAAATTTAAACGTCACTCGGATTTATAATGTGGTAGCTAACCATTTTTGTGCACTACTTTGTATCTACCTAATAGTATTATTGTTGTCCTATTTCTCTACAGGGAAACATCGACCGCGAAAGGTCGGATAAAGATGATTTGAGACCTTTAATATCGGATATTGAGGCCACTCGACCAATTAATTTCATTGAAGCTCTTCTATTGCCAGTAAGTTTGTTTTAAGGTATTTTTAATCCGATTATACGACTCCAAATACGTATATTAGCGAATCTCGTTATTTTGTCTAATCTATTGATGCGACACGTTTTCCTTACTATTTCCCAGCGTATGCTTTAGTTGTTTTCATAGTGAAGTTTTAATTTCTGAAAAACCAGGAGTCACTGGGTAGGAAATCATACAGGCCAACTGATGAGTGATAAATGATAAAGGTCCCTTTCTATAAGTTGAAATATGGCTTTATTTTCTGACGGATATAGATGTATATTTATTTGTGAATTTACATATATTGTCGATTTGATTAGCCAACAAAGGCTTCCTACTCAGTCTTGGTTGTTTTTAGTCAAGTAACTAGATGAACCCGCGTATGGGAAGTTTGTATATCAGTAACAGACTCAAATGCCCCCAAATACCCTGGTACGGCCGAGAGTGGGGAGAGTCCGCTCTCCCTCTCGAAATGCTCTCACATGGCCACGCGTATATAGCCTCTGTTAGCGAAGTCCTACTCACTGTCTTCTCGTGGTGGAGGTGTTGTTTACGAAAATGAGAGGACGAAAAGCGAATGTCCGGCGCTATAACCGGATCCCAAATCAATGGTGCACATGGGCTCCAGTATCCCGAGAGAACAAATGGCGTATGAACCAGTCGTTGGTCACCGGCTACCATGGGACTACATCTCCTTACGATGCTTCACTGCCTTGTGGATCAGATCTTCAGGTCGAAGTCTCAGGGTGTGGCCCCCTAAGAAAACCACCTGCTTCGGTTCGAGCACCCTGGCAGTATCACAGCCCTCACACATATCAAGTGAAATCTGTGTGGCGCATATGTATTTGGTGTCCCCTTGTACCAGTATTTATGTGTTCAAATACAATAATAAAATTGCCGCACTTACTCTAACCTCCTGTTTTTTTAATTCCATCTCCATATGAGACCTCTAACCTATTTGTGTTTATAAATATTCATAATATATGAAATACTCTAGTTTAAACAATATACATTTCAATCGAATTAAACAACAATAATAACACTCAAACTATTTAATTAAATTTCTTTATTATGAATTTCAGTTGAATCATAATACTTATTTTTAAATGTAAGAAAATGTTTTATTTATTAATACATTTGTATTTGGTGCCTCCTTGTACCAATATCTATGTGTTAAAAATAAAATAAAATAAAAAAACAGACTCGAATACCATACAATATAACAATTTCTACTCATTATGAAATTCATTTATCTTGTGTAGAAGATTTGTAGCTGAGCTCGATGTTAGCGAAGTTTCGTTTGATTGTGGATCGTTCATTGCTCTTCTGACAAACTCAGGACCAAGAATCAGATCAAATGTCTGTACAATCACAATAAAAATACAGTTCGTGACAGGTTAAAGGTCAACAATAACCAATAAAGATCGAGGTTGACGGAACAAGCTGTGAGTTATATGTAGAGAAATTCTAATATTTCACTTCTATTTGAAGTTCGTGCTGATGGTTTTATTAAGAAGAACAATTAAAGCTCCATAATCAAATCATCCAGCTCAGAAAACGAAACTGCACCAAAATTCAACTATCTCCAAAAAGTCCCTATATACAGTAATTCATGAATATATATATATATATATATATATATATATATATATATATATATATATATTCGTTAATTATTTTATGAAATTTTCTCATCATTTTCGTTTTTCTGTTTATTTTGCAGAGTGTGTTTACCTACTCACTCTTATTATTCTTTACGAAACTTGTCTCATATACATTTCTTTATTGGTTACCAAACTACTTAACAATTGTTGAACATGTATCAGCTGAACAGGCTGCTAAACTTTCTGTGTTATTCGATGTTGGTGGCATAATTGGTGGTGTATTGATAGGATGGTTTAGTGATAGTCAAGTAAGTTTTATTTCTGTCCATTCGACGATTAGAAATCCTACATATTATGTTGAAATTAATTATTAACTTTCATATGAGTTTTTTCCAGACATTGGACTCCATTCAAGTATGTTTATTGTATTGTCCTTAGTAAATCTCTCTGTCAAACTCCAAAAACGATGGAGTGGAAACAAATGCAATACAAAAGTTTTTTATATTGTAAAGTGACATAACGAAAACAACAGACAGAACAGTAATGATGCTAGTTGGGTAACGATAGAAAGTTGTTTGGATTTACTGAATACGCTATGATCAAAAAATATGGACAGTGAATTACGCTGTTACAGAGAAAAGTAAATCTATGATCTATTCTCAAACCAGACATTGAAAATAATGAACTAAACACTTAAACGGACCGTTGAACTGGCGTTTGCTTGCTAACTGGTAGCTTGGAATACGAGTTTTGTTGGTCATTCCTGATTTGTTTTTTATCGATGATCTTCACCTCAAGTGAAGGATTATGTCATGCAGTAACTTATATCCGAATGAAGAATAAGTGAATGGTAACTGCTGAAATCTATTTATGGACTGCTATTATATATATCTTATTGCATAACCATTATGTAACTATATTATATTCATATTCATATTCCTTTTATTATAAGCTTCCATTTGACCTATTTGCCTTACTTACTTACTTGCCTACACTTGTTGCCCCTCGTGATCTTGTATAATTGTTATTTTCTACTTTACGGTATGATGTAGCCCGATTTGCCTGTATATAAACTGCGTATGTCTGAAAAACATGATTCATATGGCAGAGGCTGATATCCGTATTCTAGACTAAACCGGCAGGATTAGGCGAGAAGCTACTATCTCAGAGGACCAGTAAGAACTCGAATGTGATCATAATCTGCTCGTACTGGTTGACACGTCATTGGTTTGGTACAGTTCTCATGGGTTCCAGAAACCTGAGGTAACAAGTGGCATACAAATCTATTCGCCATTATCTACCGTAGGGCTGCATCTCCTAAAGTTGCTCTACTGCCTTACGGATTAGACCTCTAGATCAAAGGCTCGGGGTGTGGCCCACTGAGAAAACCACCTGCTTCGACTTGGGTGCCCATGCGGTTGTAGTGAACAAGAACACCGATGGGAACAATCGAATGTATTTAGGCACATAATTACTGAGCATCTCAATAAAATCTGAGAACCATATATTAAATCTTTAATTTGCAAAATATCAATCCATCATATCAAACTTGACTGTTCCTGTTGCAAACATCAATCCTACCTCGCGTCATATACTACTTATGTCTACATAAGTAGCACACACCACACAGTATTCCAGGCCTCAAATCGAATGACGAAGTGTGGTGCATGTATACGTGGTACCTCCTTGTACCAATGCTTATGTGTTTAAATAAATAAAAGGATATACATGAATCAAAACTCGGAGTTATAATTGGTTATCCCCGAGTATACTGTTCCGTGTATAGAGTTTTGACTGATTAATATTTATGTTGATGGGTGTTCTGTATTTTTTTTGTTCCAGTCAAATGGACAAAATCTCAACGAAGATGAAAAAACAATCAAAAAACGTGCACTTGCTTGTCTTGTTATGCTAGCTTGTGCGGCACCTTTGGTAAGTTTAAATTGTTAACGGTCTTGCTTTTCTAGAAGAGTTGTCTAAACGCATAACTAATGTGTAGTTTCTTTAATGTGAAGAACGCATTTATAATCTCTCTTTATAGTCGACCTCATTGTTTCTTGTCATCTGGGTATTTGCATTATATGAATTTATTAGTTAATTACTATAGTTGTGTTGATAATTCATCCGCTAATTGTACAGACCATATCACTCGCTATGTTTAATCTTAATCAAGTCATTGCATTTAAAGAATCTACTACTTACTATAACACTTGACAGTTACGCTGGTAAATTGTAATCAGGGTTTTTATATCTTTACATTATGTACTGAAATTTCCTGACCTATAGTTTCGCGTTTTGTCATTACAGCTATTAGCCTATCGTTCTATGACTTCTGCGAACTCGCTGATGTCGTTAAGTAAGTCAATCCACTATCGTTTAGTTCTTAAAAATTGTTAATTAACCTCAATTGTAATGAGTAATAGGTCATGCATATGTCTACGTAAATGAATTAATCAGAAGTCTACTCATGTGATCAATGTTATATCCCGGAGAGAATTGTGAATGGTAACTCTTGAGAACTATTTATGGACCAATCCGATAAATATATTTTTACTGTATAATTGTTAAGCAGATAAACTATGCATATTCATGTTCCTCTTATTATAAGCTTTATTTTGACCCATAGACTATTATTATACGATATACCATTCTTGATTTCTGCCCAGTCTATTAATTACAGGTTACAACATTCACAGCCACTTTTGGCTAGATCTTGTACAAATGTCATTTTCTATTTTATGGTACGACGTGGTCTGTTTGGTTTGTATATAAACCCCAGTATGCTTGAAATAAGTGATTCATATCACAGAGGCTGAGATTGGTGTTCTGAACTCAACAGACAGGCTATTCAGGAAGAAGAACCGATAAGGACTTTAGACTGCTCTTATGGGTTAATGCGTCATTGATCCGGGCGATAAGCCACTGTTCTGCAATTGGCGGTATCATTACGTTATATATATTGACAGGGGCACAAGTTATAACAATTAGCACTACTTAATACTACCAGTTTCTTTTCATGCAGATAGGGTCAACTCTCTCTTACAAATATGAATATCACACTTCTTGTATGGGTACTTATCAGTCTCGTATTTATGGTAAACTAACTACACTTTGCACCTCCACCCCTATCAAGCCAACCATTTTCCGGACTCTCCAAATTTTCTGAAATTTTATGTGGTAGTGTCGCACAGTTTTTTTCAAATCATTGATAATTTTGCTAAAATGTCCTGGTCAACTTTTTTTCATCCAACACGAGTGTATCGATGTAAAGCAAAATAGTTAAAGACTTCATTTTCCTAATTAAATGCTTCAGTTATAGTGAGGTGGTTGACCTCTGTTGGTTCGGGCTACTTCAAATGAAGACTGAAATAACTAAATATCTTTGAAAAATCGACTGCCTTGGGAGATTATACTCTTCTATTGCGTATAATTTTTCATCTTATTTTGAGAGCACCACTCGTCTTAATGAATCTTTCTTTTTATTTTCCGTCCGTGGTTGAAGGTAACTTGATTTGGTAAACAATTATCACAAATCTTACGTTGTGTTCGTTTGTCTTTCTATCTGATAGCGTATTCTTGGTATCTTGTTTATAGTTTTACTTACATGTTGCGGTTCTGCAGTCAACGGACCTTATGCATTAGTTACAACTGCTGTATCTGCCGACTTGGGTACTCAGTCGGCCTTGCTAGGGCGAACTCGTGCTTTGGCTACAATTACATCTATTATTGATGGAATGGGATCACTGGGTAAGTTGAAAGTACTAGACACTTCATATATTGATCAATGCCATTGCTTTTGTTGCACTTCAGTGTATGAATCCTTTATAAATCATTTTATCGAATTAAATATTTCAGTTTATTGGTTACTTTTAAATTAATATGAATAGTTTGAACTATTTAGTATTTAATCATGTACTCAATTTATTGGCTAATGTTTCTGTTTTTTTTAAAAACACAATTCGGTCTATGGTTCTGGTATGCATCCTGTGAGCAAGTTCCTAATTCGCTCACTTCATCGTTCCAATATTTCTTCAAACCAATAAAACTTTCACATCGTATATTGCAAACCAATTAATCAGTTGATAATATCAACACATTGATTTGATTCTCCTAAAGCTTAAGAAGCTGTTTCTATCACTTTTTCCAATACTTTTGTTTAGCTCGTCATTATATGACATCGCGGGTAGATTTTTAAGTTCTAAAACTAAAGAAGTTTACACGGAACATTTATTCCATAGATATTGAGAGAAGTTTGTTTTAAGGAATGTCATCGTAACATAAGAAAAGATTTCTGAGAATTACGCATCAATACTTTGTAAATTGTAGTATGTTTGTTCAATTTTCGGTATCGAAAATATAGTTATTAAAATATGAGAATTAATAAAAATTTTGTTGGGAGTTCCAAAATATTTAAAATTTCAATATTTCATCTTAATTATCACTTACTACTACACAGTCTTGTTCACAGAATAACTGTGACTTTCTTCAGTACAATAGACATTGTTTTAATGTAACTTTGTGAAATAATCCATTGTATATAAACAATTGTGCAATTTCTTTCTTAAAATATCCAACGGTTAAGGTATATTTCCCTTTAAAAATTCACGATTTCCTTTGATGAGTGATTCTGTCGAATGTATGGTTTTATCGTTGTTTTTATTTACAGAACTAACCAATCGTTATCGACTTTGTTGTTTAGTGATGCACCAGGTCAAAGTGTACTAAAGACAAAATCAGGATCCAATTATTGATTTTCTAAAAAAAGTTTTTTATCGATAAGTACAACTTTATTTGTGATGTTTATTTATGCATTACAGGTGCTGCGTTAGGTCCACTTCTGACTGGTTTACTAGTTCCATATGGTTGGTCTGTTGTATTTGCTATGCTTATCACATCCGATCTACTGGCCATGTTAATGTCAATATGGATTGTCGTTAATTCAAGTCGTCTGCAACATCGTCAAACATATTATCGACTTCAATCAACAATTCCTATTTAATTAAAATTTGTTTTTACTTACAGCAAGAAAAAATAACAGCACAAGTCATATCAGTTTCGAAATAGCTGTGAATATATTTTGTCTTTTTCTTTCAGTATGTCATATTGCACCATATATTATTACTTCAACTGTACGTATAGAGATATACATATTCTTGTATGTTAGTTTTTTTTACAGCCTGTTAGGTTTTTCTTAGAATTCTTTTTGTTACTGAAATGAATGTAACCAACATATCATTATCGATATTATTGTTTATCATTACTATTATTGTCTTTTTTATGAATTCAAGGCTTTATCAGGATTCCATGTATATTCTAGACTTTTCTGCCTTGTTTTTCGTTGTTTCTTTCTCTTGTTAATTCTAGATAATATATGCATATATTTACTTACTGATGTCTTACATACTTACGTGTTTGTTTATCATACTCCTTTTGAAAGCGTTATCTGTATGAGAGAAAAAAATGAGTATACTATAATAAATGTTGACTTTTATCATAAAAGTTTGAGAGTATTTGGGATGCAGACACATCTAGTTGATGAGTCTTTAGTGGGACGAAATGCTCGATGTGGATTCCACTGTTAGACACCATCCGACTTTTATGATAGCAATAATTTAGTCGGTTCCCCCACCAATCAAAATAATGTTCTAGTTATTTGTAACTACATATGGAATAATGTCTGAAATATATACTGCAAAATTGCAATTTCTTTAAATAAGATAAGCTACACTGTTAAAATGTCTAAAGTCGACAGACTGAACTTTGCGTGTAAAAATGATTTAATGTGAAAGGAAACCATAAGGATTGCAATAATATGCAAAGTTTTAGCTTCTCAGTTACTGAGTTCACTTTTTACTGCCAAGCGAATGTTTTCCCGTAAATAAGCAATTAAATTTAAACATGCAACAGACTCGTTTATCTAGAAATCTTAGTCATTTTATGGTGAACTGTAGACCCACGGTTCGAAAAAAACTCTATAGGTGTGCTAGAATTTGACAATGTTAATTCTGTTGACTAAGTCACCTTTCTATAAACTTACTCGCTGGCTGACGAGGTGTTTAGAACCAATCATCAAGAAACTTGCTCCCTATGGTTTGAGGGATGTTTTCGAATTTTCACAAAACCTTGATGGCCTAAATGCTTCCGATAAATTTATGGTATCATTCAATGTTTCATTTCGCTTCACAGAAATTCCTTTGGAGGAAACTGCCAATATTATGTGAATATCCTGAACTCCCTCCTTTACCAATCAATGAATTCAAACAGCTGTTCATGTGCACCAAAAATATACAATTTGAATCTAAAACTGTGTTGTACCGCCAAATTGATGAAGTAGCCATGGGTAATTTTCTGTGTCCAATTCTGGCTGATATATTTACGGGGAAACTGGAACAGATGCATGCAATCGAAGGAACCACACTATTGTAGATGTGCTGGTGACACATTTCTTGTCTGTAACAATCCTAAGTATTCTATGTACCTATTCAGTCTGTTCAACAAAAAATATAATGATATATATTTTACTATGGAACATGAAGTAGAAGGTATATCCCATTTCCTAGATATTGGAATCAAACGAACTTCAAACGGCACACTACAGAGCTACATCCATCGCAAAAGTACATGGAGTGGAATTCACCTAAATTACGACAGCTTCTGTCTAATGAGTCCCAAAAAATGGGATTGTACGAGCCGTTTTTGATTGCGCTCATAGACTTTTCTCAAAATAAAGCCTGGAATAAGAGCTTGTCTATGTGAAAATGCATATCCATAGAAATTCGTTAAGTATGCCAAAGCCAATGTGTGTTATGTATGATACAGTGGAAAAGAGAACCTGCTTCTTATATTTGATCTTCGAAAGAGATGAAATCACTGGAATAACTAACTACAGGGTAAATGTCGTAATTAAGGTCACTTATCCATCAGCAAAAGTGACGACATGCGAAACAAACTGCTCGCTCAAACAAACAAAAATTGACAGGTTCTATTTTCTCAGTACTTCCAAAAGCATTTACTCATTTAAATATATATGCCAAAGCACATGCACTGGAAGAACAGAGCGAAGAGTACATGCTCATATTTCGAATTACGTTCCAAAGAATTTGAGACAGGTACAACGGCTCTAAACAGTACAATAGCTCGGTATTTAATTGACACCGGGCATACCATTGACATTCCACAACCGTTCAAAATTATCAGCAGACAAAAATATGCAGCGTCTCTCCAGTTTGCCGAATCAGTAAAAAAAAAAACATGTATCCAGAAAGAGACAATACTAAATTTAGCACTACCTTGGTAAATTATTTTTTGTTATTGTGATTATTTTATTGATATTTATTTTGTCATGAAGTTTTCCCTGAACTAATTTTTATTTTATGTCCACCAATATCATCCTTTCTTTCAAAGGTTTTCATTCACTTGATTCTCCTAACTTATGTAAACTCTTCAAATCCTATTCAATTATTACCCATCTTATCAATTTCTAGTTTCAGTAATCTTATGTAAATCTTTTACAACTTCTATAATTATCACATAATCTATCTTAACTATTTCCAGACCTCATTTACTAATTACTGTCGACCAGGGTGGTTGATACCTGTGTGGTTGCGCCACAGGATTGAGCTGTGGCTTTAAAGCCTATACGGTGTCTGGTTCTCTTGTGAAGCGGGATTGTGTTGTACTGCTCGGGTTATGAAATTTAAGCCTGGGCGGTGTCTGGCCCTCTTGTTAAACGGAAATTGAGCTGTACTGTTCGGGTTGTCGCGTGAAAGTCTGGACAGTGTTTGGTTCTCCTGAAAATCAATTTAAAATCACTCTGACCCACAAGAGTATATTATATAACTATGGCCCCCAAATGCCCTGGTACGGCCGAGAGTGGGGAGAGTCCGCTCTCCCTCTCGAAATGCTCTCACATGGCCACGCGTATATAGCCTCTGTTAGCGAAGTCCTACTCACTGTCTTCTCGTGGTGGAGGTGTTGTTTACGAAAATGAGAGGACGAAATGCGAATGTCCGGCGCTATAACCGGATCCCAAATCAATGGTGCACATGGGCTCCAGTATCCCGAGAGAACAAATGGCGTATGAACCAGTCGTTGGTCACCGGCTACCATGGGACTACATCTCCTTACGATGCTCCACTGCCTTGTGGATCAGATCTTCAGGTCGAAGTCTCAGGGTGTGGCCCCCTAAGAAAACCACCTGCTTCGGTTCGAGCACCCTGGCAGTATCACAGCCCTCACACATATCAAGTGAAATCTGTGTGGCGCATATGTATTTGGTGTCCCCTTGTACCAGTATTTATGTGTTCAAATACAATAATAAAATTGCCGCACTTACTCTAACCTCCTGTTTTTTTAATTCCATCTCCATATGAGACCTCTAACCTATTTGTGTTTATAAATATTCATAATATATGAAATACTCTAGTTTAAACAATATACATTTCAATCGAATTAAACAACAATAATAACACTCAAACTATTTAATTAAATTTCTTTATTATGAATTTCAGTTGAATCATAATACTTATTTTTAAATGTAAGAAAATGTTTTATTTATTAATACATTTGTAAATTTGTTGCTAGGTATATATATATATTTTTTTTCTTTTAAAAAAACCATCAAAAATACATTAGGAATGTTAAATTATTAATCTCAATGATGATAGCAGTCATCGAAACAAGTCAACATTTTATTATATACGTGATTTGTTAAGTTTGTGTAATATTGATTGGACTGAAGGTTTAGGCATTATATATATATATATATATATATATATATATATATATATATATATATATATATATATATATATATATATATATATATATATATATATATATGATTGTGCTTATTAATGTACAACTGTTTGTTGTTTGTATAACAATAATAATTTCATTTTAAAATTTGTGCTTTGTTCAATTTCTTCTTTGTCTCGATCATCATTCAAGTGAACAACTAATGAAGAAAAAGTTTATTTAGAATCAGTTAATTTTATAGTGTTTTACAAAATAAACACATTGAACAAATATTTCTAATAGTTGAGATCATATGTCAATTGAAGCTAGAACACTATGGAAAACCTGGAAGCACTGGACGGCAGTTTTTTCCTATTGTGGGACCCCTCCGCAGTGCACATCAATGATCCCACCTTGCGAGATTCGAACCCAGAACCCATCGGTCTCGCGCGCGAATACCTTACCTCTAAACCATTGAATTGGCATCCAACGATGTTAACATCTAACTTCAACTAATCCACAAAATTGAGCGACACATCCACCATTGTCTTCAGTGAGTTACTATCTCACAATAATTTTTTTATCAGAATGAGAGTTTGTGGAGATTGTAGCAATTTGGTAATAATCATCATGTGCTCACTAGTGAGTGGCTTCAAGATAGATTTCCTGGAGTTCTAGTGAGAAGCCGTGACCAGTGGGGCCGTTACTCACTGAAGGCAATAGTGGATGGTCGCGCAATATTGTGGATTGGTTGAAGTTAGACATTAACATCGTTGGATGCCGGCTAAGCAGTCTAGAGATTAAGCGTTCGCGTGCGAGACCGATGGGTTCTGGGTTCGAATCTCGCAAGGCGGAATCGTTGATGCGCACTGCTGAGGAATACAATACTAGGACAAAACGACTGTCCAGTGCTTCCAGGTTTTCCATGGTGGTCTAGCTGTAATTGACTTAAGAATTCAATTATTAAAATAATTTTTAATTGATATCCATTATCAACTTACAACTACTTACTAATAATAAAATGTAAATATAAAATCTATTAATTGTATAAAAGGTCATAATAAACCGAAAAAGTAAATAAATACTTTTCCTGCAACTTACTCTTACAGTTAGTTTACAGTAATTGTTTCAAATATCCAGTAAATGTTGCTAATATTACTGATTTCAAATACAACACAAATTTCATAAAAATATGTTGTTCGCATTAGTTTTTGACAAAAAAAATGCTTTATAGATTTCCGAACACTTTTCTAATATCGTTAA